TTTTTTTTTTTTTTTTGGTTATGTTGCTTGCTTCGGAGGAAAGAGAATATGAAACTGAATGAAGACAGGTATGTGGATGAAGTCGCAATTAACAATTTATGGTTATATTCTACAGTTTTGCTATAAAGTCATCGGATGACTCGACTTATGGAGTCATTACACTTATTCGCCAATAGTTTATTGACACGTGTTTTGCAATAAATAAAATTTGGACAAGTGTCAATACATTAAGTGGTGGATGACTCCATAAGAAAACTGAACTGCCTAATGTGGTAAAACATTCTCATATTCAAACTATCCTAACAAATATGTGCCTAATTCAATCCATATAGTAAAATCCACCCACCACGGTTCACTTAGATTCAATCTCATCATACGAAATAAACAAAACCTCAAGGGTACATTTGCAACTTTTAAACAGTTTATTTGCAATTTTGAAGCAAAACCAGGTCTTTTCATACTTACACTAAAACAATTTATAATACTTTCTCCTTCACTTTAATCCCTTTCTAACGAATTCAGGACTGTACATGCTTGAGTCAACACAGCAACACAATACCATCATCAACATTTGATTCACATGGAGTGTTCATGAAAACACTGTCACTTATAAAACAACTCAACTCGCGAGTTTAAAAGCATCGATAAAAAGACCATAAGTAAAACCCATTTTGAAATTATTCAAAAGGGCAAGAGGAAAAGTGACTTTTGGCCTGCTATAATAAAACCTGGTCACGTATTCGGTGATCAGAACACATAGAACAGCAGCAATAACGTCATTAACCCCTAAAGCTCCGAAAGACAGAGATATCGTCTGGGCAACATAAAAACCGCCCAAAAGGGATATACCTCCAAACAGTGCCCTTCTCGAGGGACTTCTAAAGTAATTTCGGGAAGCCTCGGGTATTATCCGTATTATGTCAACTAGTCGCCTTCGTCCCTCGTCTTCCTGCACTGCTCGAACACTAAAAACACTCGATGATGATTTTGAAGTGAAAGTTGTTGATCTTGCTGGGGAATTGCTTGGTTTAATAGTGAAGGCGTATTTGCAAAGGCCAGCTGAAGTCATTGTTATTGAGTTTGCCATTCGCAATGACTGCTAATATGTTTCGACCAATGTTGATTTCCTGAGGAAAAGAGAAAAATGATTAACACGTTAGGATTGTTTTACCATGGGGAGAGAAGGCAATAATATGGCCCGTCCATGTGGATCATAGGCCAAACGGGCCAGCCCAAGGATCGTCCGAAGGTGCCCGACAATGAAGAAAATGGATACATCCAAGAAAAAACAATAAAGGAGAGGAGAAACCTGCCAACTTCAATTCTTTCGTCCAATTTTTGAGAAAAAAGTGCTATTCGACTTCAAATATGAACCATTTCGCACTGACATTAATCAATTCCTCCAACAAAACACTTAAAAGCACACGCAACACTGGAACTCATTGGGAAATTCTTCATTGTCCAGATCACCATATTTTGTTGTTCCTTGATGTATCTAGAGAAAGAAAGTTGTATACAAAATGGAGATCCCAAGAAGTTTATTCTAACAGTTTCCTTACATACATTAGAAGGATTATCCACCAGAAAATCTACTTGGGAGGTGGTGGATCTGTTCAAAGATAGTAAAAGGACAGCAACTGGTTATCAAGAAGAGAAATCTAAGGATGTGGTGTGGTATGCCTCTCGGCGCAGGTTGAACTATACATCTTCCTTGTGTATTTAACTCTCTTTAAAAGATAAAATAAAAACAGGCTGGACTGTGTTGACCCATACACAAAACAAGGCAGGCTAAATAAGACCACGACAAACGGACAGGGCAAATGAAGGCCCACGCCAACCAGTATATGCAGTTAAACAGGCCGGTCCAAGGGTTGGAGCCTAATTTTACAGTGCTAGAGCGCAATGGTGGTTCAAGCAAATTGAGACATTATTTCTGATAATAAAAATTCTGGCGAAAACATTTGTTTTTTGGGAATCTTTTAAGAATATGCCAAGCACATCCAATTATAATCCATGAAAGTCGAGAATTTTGTAACACAGTCACCTCAATCTGATACCATTTAATTTTATAATTTTCAATTACCAAGCTCATCCAACCAATTTTCTTACGAAACAGAAAGTTGAGATTCCTCAAAACATTTTATAATAACAAAAGTCAAATTCAAATAAGACATTATAACAAATAAAATAAAATAAAAAATATTTAGCATTAAGGACTTTAAGAAAGAATATGGGAAGCAATTCGATATCAACATTCATCATTTTTCTCTTTCATGGAGGATGAATAACCAAAATTTGAAGATAAAATGCAGATGAATGTCATTGAAAGGTAAATAAAAAATGCACATAGATCCACAAGTACTTTTGTAAATGACTATACAAACATCTAGTCTTTCCCCTCAAACACCAAGCAAAATCTTTGAAATCATTGATGGAATCACTACAATCTTTGCAGAATCTAATATTAGATTAAGAAGGGAATATGTACATCCAAATCAAGCCACAGCAAGAAGCAGTGAGACCGAATGCATTTGATATCAAACAAAAATCTAGTGCCACTTAGCATGCAATGGGGTAGGGTCGTTCTCCGATTTACCAGAACCCGACCCATTACCCTATTTTTGACAAGCGGGCATGGTTGAATGTTGCCCACAGGTAGTTCGGTACCCATTACCTGAAAATACACAATCTGATGCAGCAGATAGGTGATGGAAGAAGATTCACAGATAATTCATGAAGAACACGATAGTTTCTTTTCTGATACAATTCTTAAAAATCTGATAAAAACTGTCTGTTCCAGATAAACAACGGCTACTAATATTACATCACAAACCTAAACAATATTACTTAAAAGCCCCCACACAGTAAGTTCACTACAACATAATAAAAAGCCCAAAATAACATAAATAAACATAACTAAATAATAATAAAATAAAATATAACAATCACACTAAATGACGGAGTCGATCATATGTATCGAGAAATGCTAACGCACTCTCGTCGGCATCACAATCCCTACTCGACTCATGCGTTAGTCTAATCACAATTTCAACCTTAGTTTCAGACATAACCAGCCCAAAGAGAAAACAAGTAGACACCTCAGAGCTCAAGCAATTTGAGCAACAAAAAATGTACTGAATTGGAAAGGTTTGCATTCATTTAACAAAATATCCTATGAAGTTAGGGAACCTGAAAATTTGATAAGTGGTTATTTTGTAGGTAACGCAGTTATGTTAAGCCGGAATATTCCAGAAAAGGAATCATATTTCCTCAATTTTCGTTCTAGTCGGGCTAAACTTATAATTACTCAAATAATTTTGTTCAAGAAAAAGATAAGATGGATCCTTTCGATTCATTTCAGTTCAACCTTAACGGCGGCCTCCAAATTAAAGGGGAAAACCCCCCTAAAACCTTAAAATGTTACCTCTTCAACTGAATTTTTAGGCGGCTCGTAGGGTGTGGCCGAGAAGGATGGGCACAGGCTGCGTAACGAGAAATGGAGGAGTTGAGATTTGCTGGCAGACGCGAGGTCGCGGGATGAGATGAGAGAAGATGAAAATATACAGTTGGCCTTGAAGAATGTGGGTGTGGAATAAATAGTTTGGGAATAATGCTACGAGTAGATAACATTGTGCATAATTGTGTACGATTGAGTGGGACCCACGAAAAAAAAAAAAAAAAAGTGGATCCCATTTTATGTGAGTGTTATGTATATTTTTATGTACATTTATTATGTACATGTAACATTTTTCATAGTTTCAAGTGTCTTACTATTTTTTTTTTCGAACCACTTTATATTAAAAATTAGAAAACTTCAAAGACTACAAATTGACACCAAAAAAACAAAAAAATAAAACTAAAAATAGAAATAAAAATAACACAGGTGTTCGAGTGGGTATAACCTCCATCGAGTACGTTATAATTCCGTGTACTAACACAGTTGAGCGCACTCGACGTAATATACTCACGTTTCATATTTGATTCATAAATTTTTAAAAAATTAATATATAAAACTTTTTTTTTCATTTATTCTTCTTGATATTAGTTACTCCCTCCTATTTTTAATATTTATCATTTTGGAAAACAGCACACTAATTAAGAAATCTTTTTTTGCTAATATTGACCCTATTTAATGAAAATTACTAATCTATCTATAACTCCATTAAGCAACACATTTAATGATGATTAGTAAAAAGTAAATTAAGATTCGGTGAAAGAAAAAGGAAAAAGGAACAAAAACATACTCCTTAAACATCGCGTGGACCAAACACAGAAGAAAAGGAAAAAAAAGCTTTTAAGATAAAAAGTAAAAACCCATCATCTTCCACATTTTTTTCTTCTTCAAATTCTGTAAAACTTCATTTTCTTGAACACCTTAAAAATTTGGAGCCAAAATTTCGACACCACACTCAACATTTCAATTTTTTTGAAATTCACACTCAACATTTCAATTCTTTTTGAAACAGCACCGAAAAAGGTCTATAAATATGGATATGAATAATTTATTTACATCACACATTTTGAATAAAAATTTGCAATGACTTCAAATATTCCGATCGATTTGAACAAAACTCCTTATGAAGTAGAAGATGCAGTCCCAAGATCTTCGCAAAACATTATAATCGAGCTCAATGTTGACGAAAGTCCAGAAATTGGATACCCTCTTATCGAGCTCGACTTAAATCAGTTTTTCGATGATGATGACGAAGCGAGGTCCGATTCATCTGGGGAAGAGATAATTGGCCAGCAAGCTGGAGGCAATAGTGACGGGGGAAATAGTGAAGCCGGGGAAACTAGCCAAGGTGAGTTTGTGTTAATTCTTTTGGCCTTAGATAATTCTTTGTTTGAGTGGTTATTAATTTTTCATCATCATTTTGATCTTAGCTTAATGTTTGGCTAACCTGATTTTTCTTGGCAATCTTATTAAATTGAGAAATAAGGATCCTGCCAAGTTGATTACCAAAAATAATTAGGGGTTAACTTTTTGAGTTTGGGGGTTATGTTGGTCATGAATAGAAGTTACAGAAATGGATTTTAGGAGTATCATTTTTTTTTTGTTTGCTTGATGTTGTCATTTTCTCCAAATTACCCTAACATTATTGCTCAATGTGTGCGTGATTTTGAAGCAAAACTTTGGGACATCTTTGTTGTTAGTTATGTGCTGCAATTTCTAACATTATTGCTCAATGTCGGCTAGATTTTCAAGCAAAACTTTGGGATATTATGTGCCAGAAATTCTATGGTGCCACATGTGGCACATGTTATGGTGCCACAACATGATGTGGCATATTATGATTGGTTCCACAACATGATGTGTGATAGTTGTGGCACCAATCATAATGTGCCACATCATGTTGTGGCACCATAATATGGTGCCACATGTGGCACCATAGAATTTCTGTATTATGTGCTGCAATTTGAGATTGCAATACACTAAGTAAAATAGAAATGTCAATTACTTTGATGTCAAGTAATTAAATTTATAATTGTCTATTTTACTTCACTACCAAACTTTAAATTTACAATTGTCTATTTTGGAGTATCTAGTTTCATTGCTTGGATCGCTGTATTAATTTTGGTACCACTTTTTTAACAGGCAATGTTCAAAGGAGAAAGAATAGGACCCTAACTGACGATGAACGGTGGGCAGTTTACCATGCTTTGTTGGAGAAAAGTGTAAATGGTAAATTAAAAAAGAACACAACAAAAGAAGTGAAAGATATGTTCAATATTGAGCTACGAACAGTGCAAAGAATATAGAAAATTCTCAAGAGAACTTCACAAGGCTCAGATGTGGAAGTTTCGTCGAAAAAAGTGCGGAATTGTGGCCGTAAAAGAATTGAGGTAGATTTAAGTAGGATTCAACAGATAGAGTGGCATCAACGAACAACGCTTACATCTCTTTCTAATGCTTTGGGAGTTAGTTACTTCAAACTGTATACACTTTTTAAGCGAGGCGTTCTACGTCGTCACTCAAGTGCCATCAAACCACATTTGAAAGACGAAAATAAAATATCGCGGCTAGAATTTTGTTTATCGATGCTTGATGAAAGCACGAAGTCGAACGAGCCAAAGTTCAAGGAAATGTATCACTATGTGCATATCGACGAGAAATGGTTTTACTTGACAAAGAAGGAGCAAACGTATTACCTACTCGACAGTGAAGAAGATCCTCATCGTTCATGCCAAAGTAAAAATAACATTGCGAAAGTTATGTTTCTAGCCGTCACGGCTCGTCCGAGATTTGATGGTGGAGGAAGGGTGGTATTTTCGGGCAAAATTGGATGTTGGGCATTTGTGACCGAACAACCAGCCCAGAGAAATAGCAGGAACAGACAAGCTGGCACAATGGAGATGAAGGCGATCACATCTGTTAAAAGCGTTTTTGATTGAAAAGGTTATCCCATCTATTATGGAGAAATGGCCTAGCTCCGACTATGAAGAAACTATTTATATCCAACAAGACAATGCTAGGACGCACGTTTCTCCTAATGACCCTGATTTTGTAGAAGCAGCTTCACAAAATGGCTTTGACATTCGACTAACTTGCCAACCCCCTAATTCTCCAGATTTGAATATACTTGACCTTGGGTACTTTAGAGCTATACAGTCGCTACAACAAAAAATGTGTGCAAGGAATATCTCTAAGCTTGTAAGTGCGGTTGAGAAGGCATTCTCTGACTATTCACCCATCAAGCTCAATTATGTGTGGTTGACATTGCAATTATGTATGAATGAAATCATGAAATAAGGAGGAGGAAATCAATATAAAATCCTTCACATAAACAAAAAACAACTTCAAAGACTAGGCCAACTTCCAACAACAATTTCATGCGAGTCAACTTTAGTGCAAGCGACTAAAGACTTGTTAGCAGCGCGACTAGGTAAACCAATGTTAACCTTTACTTCTCTTCATATACTCACTATTATTGATAATGTTATCATTTGCATTTAGGTAACGCTTCGATTGGAGGTGGATTGGAAGGGCTTTAGTGATGTCAATGAAAAATGATGGCCTCCTTCACGCCGAGAAGGTTCATAAGTAGTTGGGGTTTGTGCATATTTTAGAAATTTTAGCACCATAAAACAATTTGTTTTGGAAAAGTTGTGTCAAGGTTATATTTCTGGACATGTTTGAGAAATGTTTGTTGTGGATCTGGAAAAATTTTCCCCGATTTATACTTCTTGAGTTGTGGACAAATGTTTGTTGCGAAAAGTTAGTTAATTTTAGTTTGCTTTCTCAACTTTACAAAAATCTGAAAATTGCAAAAATGAGTACTAAGCCTCAAAAGTTCTTTGCTTCCTCCCCTCTCGCCTCCGAAAATACGGACCCGCCTAATCCAGCCTTAAAGTGGTGAATATTAGCCTCCGAGGCCTGAAAAATGATTGTGTTAGATTACTTTCATAGCTAGTGATTACTTTCTTAATTTAGCTTTTTTGAACATATATAAGAATTCATTCATATATTGTGAAGTTTCAAATTTGCCTAATTAACAAATGTTTTTGTAACAAGTTAATCATGAACTTTCATATGACGTCTTAAAAATTAAGAAGCAACATACCATGGTCATGAAAGTCAATCCATGACTTTTCTACTGATTTTTCATACCAAGTTAAACTTCAAATCATAAAAAGTGTAGTGTTCGTAGTTACATTCACCATAATAAAGTTTTCGTCAATATATATACTACAACTATCGTAGTTTTTTTCAATTTTGTAATGTACCGTAACAACATTTCCTTTAAAGAAAATGTCGAATTTGTCGAAGGAATTAAATAAAAATATGTAGTGTTCGTAAACAAACTACTTGTTTTACTTTGTAGTCTACTTGATTCGTCGAAATATAGAAGTAATCAATCATATGAATTAGTTTTTCACAAAAAACAAAAAGATCGACTAAGATAATTCTCTAACATTTTCAAAATTTTACGTTTCATCATCCGGGCTGTCGAACAATGATGAAACTGCTCGAGAATGCGTTTTGACATGCGTGGGGCTGCAGGCCGGGTTTTCAATATTGCTCCTAACCTTAATATGAGGAACAAGTGTTATAATTGGCAGTCAAGATTTTGCTACCCATTTTCAATCTCATCTTACAGAAGAGTATAACCCTTTTAAGAGATTCTTGATTTCCTTATGGCCAGGTTCTATTTTTTCTTTTTGGCCTAAACCAACTTTGATTGTTGCTTTTTTCGATTTATCTTGCGTTTGGGAAAGATATTTTCTCATGATCAAAGCTCGTTGTCTCGTTTATGTTTCTGCTTTGTTACTTCCTTCATCAGGTGCTCACTTTTTTTTTTTGGTTTATTTTCTTGTTTAGATACTTAAAAGTTTTATTAAGGCAGTTTTAGGTGAAGTGATAAAAAAATCACATTTTTTTCCACGGTGCTTTGAGCCTTCAATTCAAAAGCGTCGGTTATTGTAGATAAAACACGAGCATTTGCTCGTGGATGTACTGAACCATATCCATAATTAGATTACCGATTAACTACCGACCGAAACGGGTCGCCAAATGTATCGACTAAAAAAGGGTAAAAGTATTATACTCCTTGTTAGTTACATGTATAATAATTAAACTAACTTTTTCCTTTTTCTTATGCAGGTTGTTTGAAGAGAAAGATCAAGATGGAGATAACACTATATCATTCTCCGAGCTCAAAGATTTCTTGCAAGAAATATTCAAAAGTCGAACACTTCAACCTAACAATAACGATAATACAACTGCGGCGATTATGAAAGAATTCGATATCGACAACGATGAGAAAATAACAATGGATGAATTTGTGAGTGGGATGAGCAAATGGCTTGATGATACTAAGAATACCATTAATAAAAAGTACTCAGTTAAATCACTCAAAGGCTTGTACCAGGTAACATTTTATAACTGCTGGTAGCCCCTTTGAGTTTATGGGTTCTTTCATGTATATATCAAAATATTTTCGGTACAGATTCTTAAGTCGTGGGTACAAAAGAAGAGAGAAGAACGCGAGATGATGAAGCATTTAATCCGTTTTAAATTCGATACAAGTTCAACTAGCCACGGGCTGACCCGCTTCACATTCTGCAGCAAATCAATTTCGTCCCATGCCACCTGCACAAATCAGTAGCTTCTCCTGCTGCTTTTTTTTTTTTTTTTGGTTGTTATGATCACTGGCCAAACAGAAGATCTTCCCTGAGAAATAAATAGCAAAGAGCTTCTCGACATATATAGTGGCAAGCTTTCTGCATTGGTCGATTGCCTGAGGATGATTTTTTTCCACTTCTGAGGCCGATTTCTTTAGCCTCAGCTCCTTATCGCCATCAATTAGATACTCAGCCAGAAAAGTTCCACTTCAAAATAATTCACAAAAACATGTACAAAAAGTATTACTCCCCGAAAGAAATCATTAGAACACTTATATATGAAGCAAATTCAAGACTTTTCATACACAACTGACAGTACTATAAGAACAAATAAGTGCCTACAGTACCTAGACCAAAACCAACATGGAGTCTTATAACAACAAATTTTTTAAATTGAGAGATAAAAAGTCATTCTCTATCAATTTTTAGAAACAAAAAGTGCTGACAATACCTTGACCAAAACCAACAAAATGATAACAATAACAATAACAATAGATTACTCGGGTGAATAAACATAGACGAAAAAGACAATCCGCTCAAAGAAAATCTGTTACGGCGGTCGGGAGCTTTTTGGTAAATAGAGTTGGCACAAAAATCTTCAGCATCTCGTTCACAACTTGATCATTGGGGCAAGAAGCTGCTTCCCCAACAATAGACTTCTCTTCAACCATTGTTGCACTTTTAATTTTTGAAAAACTAGTTCCATTTGCAAAGAGATTGGGGCGAGATTGTTGACGAATATCGTCTTCAATGTCCGAATCAGACACATACATGTTAAATGTTTCCGTCGAATCACTAATTTGCAAAGCGATTGAATGGGCAACGTCTAAGCTCGCCTTTGTCTTCTCCAATATTTGAAGCACTTCATCCAAAAGAAGCTTGTGCGATTGAATAGGTTTAGCAAATTGGATTTCTGGATCCAATATTGAAGCACCATCACCTTTCGAATCCATGAATCTAAAAAGAGAGAAAAAAAAAGGAAAACAATTGAACCAAAATCAAAGGATTAGAAAAAAAAATGGAGTAAAAAAGGCATACACAAATTGTGGAAGATGGAAATTAATATAGATAAATAAAATGAAATGAAACATATAAATAGCCATGGAAACAATGATGCATGTTCTGGGAATGGGAAACGACGACGACATATGAAGAGACTGGCTATTAGATGAAAGGGTTAAAACTGGAAAAATGTGGAAAAAAAAGAGAGAACGACATTTATTTAGCAAAAGATTAATTAAGCCAGAACGACAACTATAAAAAATAGGAGGGAGTATTATGCTACATTTATAAATGTTTCATTCAAATATAATAGTTATAACTACAAGTATACAAAAGTCTGAATAAATTTTAGAAAGTCCATTATGAAATTATTAAAAGTCGCTAATGAGAATTCTCTTAAAATCACGAAAAGTCCACCAAATTCATTAAAATTTTACAAAGTTCACCAAAGTCACCAAATTTTTAAAAAAAAAATTAAAAGTCTTTAAAAATCTCAATTGAATGCACCTCTCTTAAGACTGGGTGTTCTCCTCTCCTTTTTGTCTTTTTTTGGCCATGGATGAACAAGGGAAGATGTGGGAAAGCTTGAAAAAAAAAAGGTATTTTCGACAGGGAAGACGTACAAAAGCTTGAAAAGAATGGGCCTCTACCTTTGACCTACCAAAAGGAAGAAGGTTGTCATACGTAAATGACAATAATAGCCTCCAAAAGTTGTATGAAATGAGGTTATTTCAGTCAATTCTAAGCAAATCCTAAAGCAAGAATCTTAGACCCTACGAAACGTTTGCAGTTTGCATAAGGGTAGCCCGAAAAAAAAAAAAAACTTTTAGATAACAAAATTATCCTTGAAAAGTAAAGAAGAGTGAGGGGCATTTGAGTAATTGCACGAAAATGGCCATTTGTCCCCAAGAAAGACGACCACTAGTCGCCATTAGATGGCTTTTATATCCTCATAAAATATTTTAGAGACTTTTTAAGACTTTTCAGAATTTTAGTGTATTCAATTAGAACTTGTAGAGACTTCTGAAAAGTTCACATGAATTCAGTTGAAACTTTTAAAAACTTTTTATAAGTCTCTAAAAGTCCTAATGTATTCAATTAAAATTTTCTTAAGAGTCTCTATATGTCATGTGTTATTCAAAATAGGAAGATGTCATAAAACTTTTTAGATTGTGAGACTTTTGTAAAAAAAAAATTACAAAGAGATAGTCCTATCAAAAATCTCATCAAACTGGTGAAATTTTGTTGGACTTATGTGACTCTCTTCATACTCTATTTCTTTTTTCTTCCTAACATGACTTTGTATCTCATATCACTTTCATACTCTTTTACTCATTTTTATTTTATTACCTTGTATAATATTTATTTCATTACTTATATTTAACGTGATCTTTTATTTTATATATTTTTTATTATGGTTATTTTATGTGTGCATACCTTTGTTATCTCATTTTGCTATCTTGTGAATTTGACTTTTAAATGGTTAAATGCTTTTATAGTTCGCACTTGCAAATAAATTTATTTGTAAATGTCTATTTCTAAATATCAAAAATTTATTTTATTTTCTAATGGTTTATTTGTTGATATTGAATTATTCTGAGTATCATTGATAACTTTATAAGATATAATCACTGTTTTTCGACAATGTTTGTATATTATAAAAATATATATTAGTAATATTTTTCTAATATTTCAACATTATGCACAAAAAGTAAAAAAAATAAAATCAATCAATAATATATAAATATTTTTTTAATTTGGTCTGATTATAAGTGTCATTGTAGCAGAGATGTGTAACAAATATTGAGTTTGTGCTCTTTTAACAAACAAATATAAGGCACTCCTCGAGTTCGACTCGTTGAAGGTAAGATTGATTTGCTCATTTAATATGATATAGGATATTATACCCGCAAAGGTAAACCAGTCTGCTGAACCGGACGAAGGGGTTGTACTGCGAGGAAGCCAGACTAATCTAGTGGTATCAAGCAAGATGATGATGGTCGAACACCCTGAAGATAAAGACCTGGAAGACTCTAGGGCGAGCAGCGTACCACGAGCAGTCGAAGGATCGACCAGTTGAGCAGTCGAGTCGACCTCAATAGATCGACCACTTTATGGACTGTCAGTATTCTGGAGATCGGCCTAATCACAAGCGCGTGTAAGAGCCTTAACGGAATTTCAGGGAAATATTCAGAGGAATAATTATCCCATGTGCAGAGGACACATGGCGATAATGCATTGGTTGATAGCGACAACTACCTCTGACGCCACCTCTGACATGCGCGCGGTGTGTCATAGTACGGACGGGCAGCTGGGGCAGCCAGCTCACTAAATCCGGGCAACCTTTAGGTCAAGTATTTCACCCATATATAAAGAGGGGTGAGCATTTCTTCCTAAACACGATTTTCATTATTCAACACAAACATACACACTTACTTAAGCGTTGGAGGCTCTTCACTGGAAAAACCTCCTCGATGTGAGAGTTGTTTGCAGGTTTCCGACGTTCCACCGGCAAGGACGAGAGGCGATCTATTCCAAACCGGCCAGGACGCTCACACTTGCATTATAATAAATCTAAAATCTTAAAGAGTTTGTTCGTGACTAACTCATTTTGGATAACAATGAGTTGATTCATAATTTTTTAGAGGATTAATATATAAAACCTTTTTTACATTTATTCTTTTTTATATTAGTTATTATGCTACGTTTATTAATATTTTTTTCCAACATAATAGTTATAACTACAAGTTATAAAAGTCTCAATGAGTTTTAAAAAGACTATTATGAAAGTCTTAAAAAGTCACTAGTGAGAATTCTCTGAAAGTCTCAAAAAGTTCACCAAAGTCATAAAAGTTTTATAAAATCCAGCAAAGTCACCAATTTTAAAAAAGTCCTTAAGAATCTCAATTGAAAACACTAACGTCAAAAAACAAGTCCATAAAGAAGACCAAGAGGTGTTTGGATACAAAACACGTCTTGTTTTGTTCCAAATTAATCCACCAAGAAAGGAAATTGAGTTTGGATATAAGCATGATACATAACTCAATGAATCAAATTTGTTCCATAATAACTAACTTATTTCAAAATAAAACTGATTTGGACACTTGCGGGCCCCACTGATATAACATCCAGATTTCGGCTCGTGGAATGGTTGCCAATGGAGGGTTTGGTTTGCCGTCCTAAGGGAATGACTATGTTGCATGGTCGAGGCTAAACTGTTAGGAGCTCGGTGATGCTTTTAAGGTGCCAATGTTTTTAAGGATATGGCAGTGTGCGACTTGAGGGGCCAATCACCAGTAAGCTTAGGTGGGCGAGCTAATCCAGAACCTTCAATGGTAGCAATGTTAGCCACCATGTCAGGAATAAAGATGAGCCCGTCCTGTGTGCTAGGGAATCCGGTGGTCTCTAGAGCGCGAAAGGTTTTAGCTCAGGAAGCCAATGCTCGTCAATGAGTGGGGAACTTATCGGGAGTAGCTCAGCATGGCTGAGGGAAGGCTCGGATGACAATGGTCGAGTTATCATCAGCAGAGAAGCTGAGGTGACGCATCACTTCCGTACAGGGATAGGATTTCTAGAGTGATGAAAGACGTTGGGTCTAGATAGAACTCAGATGGCTAGATGCCTTGAGAAGATATGGCGGAGGAGGACTCTGCCACAAATAAAGCCCTACTATGCAGGGTCTCCTGAGTCTATATAAAGGGGCAGGTTATTTTATTTTGACACAAGAACACACACGCATATTTTTCCAATATCCTATTGTTTCTCCTCAAACCCTACTGACTTGAGCGTTTGAGTTTTCATGCCGGGACCACCCTAGTCATGTTTTACAGGCATCGGCGATCAAGAAGACATAATCCAGTCTGGAGAGAAGCAATCGAGTGGTCTACAAATTCGTGGTGTAACAAATTGGCATCGTCTGTGGAGACAGATTCAGATTCTACTCGGATTAGGCAGTTGATTTGTTCTCTGAATTTTATAGTAA